ACAATGTAGTACTATATAAAGTGCAATGATGCATAAAACTTGTATATGTCATATTAAACATGCAGAAAATCTATCATTTTTCAATTTTATAATTTAATCTTATAATATTCATTCTGCATTTTAAAAGATTTTTTTTCAATTTTACAATTACCTGTGAGAAATCTATAATGAAATACTTAAAAAGCATAAAACTATCATTTTGCAAGTTTTTATAAATATAACCTTGACAAGTTTTATTTAAGGTATTCTGCATTTTAAATGATATTTTTTGTTTCTTCAATTTTACAACTACCTGAGAGAAATCTACAATGAAGCATTCATATATTTTAAGCTAGTTTACTTCCATCATGCAGAAAACATTAACCTGATTTTATGTACGGTAACATTATGTAACAATTATTGAAGAAACCTTGAAGTTATGAAACTGATTACTAGATACATTTTATGTACCTACAAAAATAAGAAGATGTGATATGATTTGCCAATGAGACAACTCTCCACCACAGACCAGACTGAATACATGTATTTCCTTGAATAACAAATGTGGGTATAACAATAAGAAGATGTAGTATGATTGCCAATGAGACAACTCTCCACCACAGTTCAGACTGAATACATGTATTTCCTTGAATAACAATTGTGGGTACATGTATAACAATAAGAAGATGTGATATGATTTGCCAATGAGACAACTCTCCACCACAGACCAGACTGAATACATGTATTTCCTTGAATAACAATTGTGGGTACATGTATAACAATAAGAAGATGTAGTATGATTGCCAATGAGACAACTCTCCACCACAGACCAGACTGAATACGTGTATTTCCTTGAATAACAAATGGTGATATAACAATAAGATGTGGTATGATTGCCAATGAGACAACTCTCCACCACAGACCAGACTGAATACATGTATTTCCTTGAAAAACAAATGTGGGTATAACAATAAGAAGATGTGATATGATTGCCAATGAGACAACTCTCCACCACAGTTCAGACTGAATACATGTATTTCCTTGAATAACAATTGTGGGTACATGTATAACAATAAGAAGATGTAGTATGATTGCCAATGAGACAACTCTCCACCACAGACCAGACTGAATACATGTATTTCCTTGAATAACAAATGTGGGTATAACAATAAGATGTGGTATGATTGCCAATGAGACAACTCTCAACCACAGACCAGACTGAATATGTGTATTTCCTTGAATAACAATTGTGGGTATAACAATAAGATGTGGTATGATAGCCAATGAGACAACTCTCCACCACAGACCAGACTGAATATGTGTATATCCTTGAATAACAAATGTGGGTATAACAATAAGAAGATGTGGTATGATTTACCAATGAGACAACTCTCCACCACAGACCAGACTGAATATGTGTATTTCCTTGAATAACAAATGTGGGTATAACAATAAGAAGATGCGGTGTGATTGCCAATGAGACAACTCTCCACCAAAGACCAGACTGAATACGTGTATTTCCTTGAATAACAAATGTGGGTATAACAATAAGATGTGGTATGATTGCCAATGAGACATGCATGGAATTATTTTTAATATTTCTTTGTATTTGCATCAAAACTTTATATATTTTTGGACATATTTTAAGTTATCTTATTTAAAAATTAAAAAACAAAACAAATTGCAAACTAAATTTGTATTAGATTTTATGCTTAGAAATAAAAAAAAAAACATATGAATGGTGAAAGAAATGATGTACAACAAAGTTTTTTTACAAAAAATACCTGTAAATTGCTTTAGTTTAAAGTACATGTATGTACTAAAAGGAAGCCTATATTGGAAATAGCAGTGTATGACCCCGTTTACACTTGCACAAAACTGAACCGAAATCGATCTTAAAAAGACCAGTTCATGTTTACATTTGCACAAGCAATATTGATCTTAATCAATCTTATAAAATCTAGTGCGTTTACACTGCAATATAAAAAAGAACCAGTCTAACAATCGTAAACACTAATGTGTGCATTTCATGTGGAAAATCACACACTGCAAAAGCATGGAGAAAATAGTTGGGTCATTGGAATTGTGTTCGCAATTATTACTTATATTTTCGATTCGTTTTAAAGGGAAAGGTCAATGCATTTCAAGATGAGGTACATGTATGTAGAGTTTATCGATTCAGAAGAATGATGTAAAACCAGCCAAATCCATTTCTTTGCTCACTTATCTTATCCAAATGTTCTGTCAATAGGGAAATATGGTTGTAACCTCGACAGGCAGACATTTGTGAGGATACCCGAAACTAGACATCCGCAAATATATTTTCATTTCTAAATATAACACTTTCACTTCTAAAATGATAAATGGAGATTGATCTAAGTGTTTTCACTTGAAAAAGATCAATTCAAAAAACATCGAGAGGAGGACTTTTTAAGTTTGATGAAGATCAAACTTTCACGTTTACACTAGACTAAAGATCAATCTTTTTTACTAGTGTAAACGGGGTCTGTCACAATAGTCACTGATACACAATTGCTTTTTGTCCAGTGACAAATATTACATGTTATTCAAAGAGAATATATGTTATATCATCCAATAACCTGCAATGCACAAAACTGTCCTGATGATTCAAATTTGTTCATGTGCTAGTTCATACAGTAATACTTAGCTGGATGAAATGTCAAGACTGATTCTACCAATTTCCTTTCCAGACCAATGCATGTATTTGACATTAAAGGGATAATGATGATGATGTCAGATGATGATGGATGGCTGCTTAACATCCAGCGGCAAATTTATATGAATATTCAGGACGTGAATATGTTAATGTAATATGAATATTTACATTGCATTGTACTAGACCAACACGCTGAGGCGAATTTTAATGTTTACTTCACAAGGTAACAGTCCCCAGAAAGACATGTAACCTTACCTGGACACATTATTCTTACTCTGAGTTTGAGCCGACCAGTCTTTGCTCTTACTTCTTAATGCCGCGTGCTTAGCGAAGAAGCAGCAAATACCAATTTTAGAGTCTTTGGTTTGACCTGGCCGGGGTTTGAACCAATGACCTCCCGCATTTGAGGCAAACACACTACCACGAAACCACCGAGGTGGTTAAATGAGTAATGAAGTGGTTTCAGATTCTGAAATTTTGCTGACTAGGTCATTGAATACATACATGTATCCTGCATGGTACAAATATATTTTCTCTATCATTTAAGAGTTATATTTTGTCTTCTTATTCTAAATTCTGGAATATCTTTTTCTAATTTCCATCTCCCTGCATTATATGCTTGTTTGAACACACCATCTGTCAAAACTTGATGACTTTACAGGGGGCATTCATTTAAAACAATAACATTAAGTTTTTTAAGAAGTAAAACTTTTAAAAGTTAAAAATTATCATTCCTTACAAAAGAAAAAAGATTATTCTGCACTCTGCAAGTTTTTTACTTTTTTTAAGACCTTCAGTGGGGTAAAAAGCCACTTCATTAATATTGACAATTGCATTTTTTTCAATGTCAATTTTACACATAAAATTAATTAAAAATTTGAAGAAAAAAAAGAACATTTGACATTAGATTCAAATATCTGTTCAAATTGAATATTTCAAAAATTGTTTATATTTTAATCTTTATAGCTCTTGAACAAGAAAGTGATTCAATCATGGCACTTCAAGGTCAGAGTGACATTATAATACGATCATTTCATTTGACAAGTTTTTAATATCGAACCGAGAAAGATCATTTTGTTCATCATAAGAAATATGTTAAGGTTTATATACAGACAAAAGCTAACATTAAATATTAAAACCCCTAATCATTTCACACATTGCTTTGTACCTAGTAATATAAAGGGGCGGTAGGAGGGGTGGTCATTCCAAATTCACGAAAAAATAAAGCATTCTTTCTCAGATCCTGAAAAATTAATCATTAATTCCACAGTCCAGACGAGGGTAAATCATGAACTCCTAGGAAAATAAAGGCCCAAATAAAACAGCCTAATTCCGACATCCCAAAAAAGATTCATATGCCCCTCAATATAATGCTTCTTGCTAATCCTTATTACGGCAATCATAAAGGGAGATTATAAATTTAACCTACTACAACATAATCATTCACATTGAGTTTCAAATGTTATATAACGATCGTAATACCTTTTTTTTAAAATTCTCTTAAGGAATGCACAACCAAAAACATACAATATAGAAATATTAAAGTCTGGGAAGATATTTTAAATTTGTGCAATCAAAACATGAAAGAGCATATTTTTAAATGTATATGTCATAAAATGCATTTAATCATCATCATGAACTACAATCAATGAACATAACTTAATAATACATAATATGGTAATACATGTACCTTCTGGAAGTTATTAGGTAAAACTTCAAGCACTCACTTTAGGTACGGACTAATAAATTTCCTAAAAGATCAAATCTGCTTGCCATACTTGATGTCAAATAAGTTAACTTAGTCTATTTCATGGCTATGATGTCCATAATTCTTGTCAATTGTACATGTATTAACAAGTAAAATCGTCAAAGAAAAACTTTTTAAAAAATATATTGCAAAATCACCATCAAAGATCGATACATGTTACTTGATCATGATTTTATCAAATAATAGAAATACGTATTTTCATTTAATAAACTGCTTTCTGAATAGTGTTTAATATACGATTTTAGGCAGAAGGGCAGAGTTTTAAGATGAAAGGACACATTAGCGTGGCTTTCTATCCGAAAACAGATAGTTTGTAGATAAAAAAATTGAAATAATTGAATAAATTAATGTACTTTTACTTGATATTAAGTATTTTTTTATTGCAAAAACTTTTTCAAGAAGTTTAAATTATTCTTTGCATAGAAAAAATCTTTTTTTCGCCTTAAGAAAACAAAAATGAATAGGGAAGAAGGGCAGAGGGAAGCTATGACCTCTATTTTGGACTACAATGTAGCTAGGACACTGGAACAAATGCAAAATTGTCGTTTTAGTAGCCAGGTTTTCCATCTTAATTACCTCTGTGTGCTGGTATAACTTCCATACATAGAGAAGTTTCTCTTCCTCTGTACATTCCAAGCCATCTTCTGCAAGTCGACGATCAATTTCAGCTGAAATCTCTGAAGGACTCTCCTAAAAAAATGTGATGTTTTAAAAAAAAGCTAAGTAATGATAATAAGATAATACTCTTTGGACATTGTCCTAGTGTAGCTGAATTTCGAATCTAAACTGTCAGTAAAAAATATAATACCCTTTCTTTAATGAGGTTTAAGGCGACTTTCTGTGCATAATACAATGTACCATTCCATGCAGCATTGCTGATCTAGTTTCATTATTTGCAGTAACTGGATTCACACTGTGCATGCTTAACCATTGACTTTTAGTGCTAACTGTTCACTCTATTCTATATATCTACATGAACAATGTATAAAGGTAAAGATCTCCCATCAACTCTAATTTCTTAAAAGGAAAAGAAATGAACACTATATGAAGATGTAGGTGACTGTGCATGCATGTACATGTACAAATGTACACCACTCTGCCTCTTACATTGAATGTTACACATCTGATTTCAGCAGGGTACAAAAAATGTACATTGTAAAAGGCATTATCTACCCTTACAAGGAAGTGAATTTCAATAGTACAATTAAAATATTTGGAATACTTGGTGCAATTAATTTTTTGGGGGGTCATGAAGAAACCTTAAAGGTATGAAAATTTTGTCAAGGTTTAAATACAAAAATTCAATTCCAGTAGTCATAGATAATGGAAGTTACTTGGATCACTGGAATATATAATGTACACTTCTATATTTATTGGCATTATATCAGGGTTCTCGGTAGGAATTTACTTGGGCAAGTTCCAAGTCAATATTTCAAAATTCTGGTGAGTACTACATGTACCTTTGAATCAGTCGTGTTTTCAAAAAAAATTGTGATTTTCTCCAGCCAAAAATGATGAGTCATCTACTGTATGTGCCTTACCAAGAACCCTGCATACATGGCATATGAACTGAAATTTACCTCTTCATAAATGATTTCCAACTCCTCAGGTAAAATAGAACTCAATGCTTCCATTCTGATATACCATGTTCAAACAAAAAACATTCTAATCCCCTTGTAATCACTTGATGTACATGTATGCATAAATCACAAGCCAGTCTTTTTGACAATGCCTTCAACACTTTATCATATATTTGTTTATAGTAATCAATTCCACATGTCTTCACACATTCATAAAATTCAATCAAATATACCTATATCATAAGTAAACATTTTGTACACTTAAATCCTACATAATTCATTCATATTAAAGAATTTCACATGTATGAATATTCCCTAACTAAATTCCATTTTTAAAATCCGTTAAATTGTACATGTATTTTCAATTTCTTAAATTTCCATACGGATGTTCTAAGACAATTTTCAAATATTTAAATAGAATCCAAAGATCTATACCAAATTTTATCAAAATCTCAGACTGGATGTCTGTTGTACGGATATATACAGTCCTTGTAATGAAAAGAAAACAAAACAATCAAGTTCAAACTGTTTAATACATGTCTATCTTATAACAAAAGACCGTGTTTATTGTTATTTTGGATTAAAGTGTGAACTTTATCGTTATTCAAATTGATCAAGATAATCGATTGAGGCATATCCTTTTGACACCCAGTGTTTTAATTATATATAACTTGCCAACTTTCAACAATCTACTTTCACCCCCAGTAATTTTAAGGTTATGTAGTTCAAATTACTTTTATAATGGTTTTCAATTTACAACAAAAAATACACTTTTTTATTACATTTTGTACATACACATGTAATTGAAAATGTCAACTTTCCTATAAGTTAAAAAAGGCCTCAACAAAAATACACATGTTTCTGCTAATCCATCAGGAATTAACTGACCCTTATTTTAAGTGCCGAAAACCTTATTTATACCATTAACATTTTTTGTCTTTTTTAAACAAATTTTTAAAAGTCAGAGTGTTTGCCCTGTGGAAACCAGTCATAAACTTTTTGAAAAATTAAATTCTTTGGCTACAAACCAACCCTTATTTTTTCAGCATGTTAGTGGAAATACTGGTACATGTATTACTTTTTTTCACTTAACTTCAAATTCAGAAAGCAGTTATTTACCACTCAATTGAATAATCAACAAATGTATTAATACATTTAATGGCCATTATGGGTATATCCTATTTCGGGCACAAGACAATTGCTGAAAATTTATCAAAAGTCCAAAATTAAAAATACATGCACATTCCCACAGCTTTTAAAACCTCTTGAAAACGTTCAGTACAAAAGTTCACAAGGTATTACCTATACTAACATGACTAGTTTTTGACAATAATGATAAGAAAGATAATCTAAACCTGGATTAAATTTACTGCAGCAAAGGTAAAAATCAAACTTTAATCCTAAGGATCTCTTTGAAAAGATAATAAAATTTTCAGAAATCAGAGTAATAACAACCTTTTGACCTTACATGTACATGTATGTTTGTCTTCATTAAGTTCATTAACTTCAAAAGCTAATATAATGTATATGCTCCTTGGTGTGGCTCCTTTAGCATCTACACATAAGAATGATTTGTAAATGCATGTTTCCCTCAATGTAAAAAAACTAATTTAGAAAACACAGGAGAATTTATTGTTTTAATTAATCCATAACTGTGATAGGTTCTTAGGCAAGAATTCATAGACATAATATTGAAGGTGCAATTTGAATGTAGACACAATAATAATGATAACTGTTGCAAAGTTTGATTTCAATTGATTTCATCGTTTTGTAAAAAGAATATCCTTGATGATAAAAGCTCAAACTGGTCCAGTGTTCCAGCTTGAATCTCAGGGCAGAAGGGTACTAGTTGTCTGAAAGGGCACTTTAGTGCAATAACCCAGATTGTAAAGGCACTGTTGGACAGTGTTTAAATTACCTTGAATATTGCTAGGCTCAACTGGAGGACATTTATTTGGTCTATAGGGCCAGGTAAACTACACCTGTACATTTAAAAAAAACCAGAAAATGTTACATACAAAAAGAGTATGAAACTGCTGACTAGTCAAAATGTTAGGGACATTTTAACATTTAATGGCAAGAAACACTAGTGACATAAGTGTGTATAATTTTGACCTTAAATTCATCATATCTAAACTTCTTTTCATACTCCAATTAAATTACAGTGATTTTGTACCACACTGGACAAATATTTAGAGATTAACTCTTTTGTCTGGTAACGATTACTCCAATTTTCAACAGTACCACCATTTACAAAGGGATATTGTCAAAGGAAGATTTAAAGCTATTATATGTAATTTTCATTCTTCGTCTTATCACTATACCTACCTAAGTCAACATTTACACTGAATTTAAAGGACAGGTTATATATATTGTTTATTTTCATAATCAACAATTTTAATTACCTCACTTGAATATACAAATCTGTGTGTAAATGTGTAATAAAGAATGCTTATTTTTCACCTCTATGGGTAAAATATATGGAGTGTGCAAAATGTACATCTACAATATACATGTAGATGGTACCGCCTAAATAAAAGTAATATAATGATAATATGCATATTTAGGACGAGAACATATTAATGTAATATGAATACAGGGGTGTGGAAATATTTGTTGTGACCACACGCCCCCGGACAAGTGAAATTGTAAATTTTACTTGTCCGGAAGAAAAGTTACTTGCCCTGATTTCTTATTGAATTTTTGAATGAAGAAGATGTATTTTACTGTAAACATGTATGTTTCTACATGTTCTAAAACAATTTTGAAACACAATGAAAATGGTATTCTTGGTCTTTGTATGTTAGAATGATAAAAAGATAAGTAGAGTATACACCAATGATATAGATAAGAAACCAACCAAAAAAACGACTTTAAACTAAAGAATTTAGAGGCCAATTTTGCAATGTTTTTCTATCCTTATAAGCTTACATGTATCTGGGAGATTATATCATGACATATTTCTTTACCCCGAGCCTGTGTTTTAAAGTTAATGAGGAGATGAAGACCAAATAATTGACCTGATCCACGATCCCAGATCAATGGGGAATAAAATCGCAAAATATTAATGAAACCGCATACTTATTTTTTGTTGTTTGAAAATCACTCTATTTCTTGATCATTGATGTTATTTTACTTAAACCTGTTGCATTCGTTTTGTTATTTGATATTTTTCTTCTTTGACGAATAAATTTTGAGGACTTTTCTACATGATTATATAAATTAACATTGTCAACCAATATCTTTTACTTGTCCACGGGCAACAAAGACACAAAAAATAGCTTGTCCGGTTGGTCAAATGTATGAGTCGGGCATGGCATTGTCACACCCCTGAAGAATATTAACGCTGCTTTGTACTACATGTAGATTGACACGCTGAGTCACATTTTTAACGTGGAAGTTCACAAGGTAATAGTCCGCAGGAAGACATGAGATCTTACCCGGACACATTATTCTGACTCCAAGCCGACCAGTCTTTACTCTTACTCCTAAGGGGAGAAGCAACAAATACAAATATTAAAGTCTTTGGTTTGACCTCCCGCACTCAAGGCGAACACACTACCATGAGACCACCGAGGTGGATAAAAGTAATATAAATTAATTTTAAATTATGAGTCTCCGACTCAAATGTCCTACTGACCCACTTGTACATGTACTTGTTTAACTTGCCGTTGAGCCTTTTTTTTGTCACATTTTGTAAGTTTTTTAAACTCTACCATGACTTATAATTATGAGTAACTACTTCTAAGGTATTCATTTGCAATTATACATTATTGTATGTTCACATATTTTAAGAATGTAGTTAACAAATTGCAATTTTACAATGTACATGGAAAAAAGTAGTTCTTAAGAGAAAAAGCTAAATAGTGTCTTTTAAAAAGTGAAGTTCAGAACCATAAACTTAGAGGCCAATAATCATTATTAATTATACCTTAAATCACTTATACTTCCAGCTTATTAAACATTATTATGGTCAAATTAACGTGTTAATCACTCATTCAGGTCAAAAGCTCATTTGTAAAATACCTATTCTGTAAATCAACTGTGGCATACTGCCCAATGAAAACAAATAAAAGATTATGTTTTTAAAATCTATGAAGGATAATTATGCCTTTATGCTTTAAAATATTTTTAACATAATCTGTTGAAAGCAAGTATCAATTTTCAGTTGACACAAAAATTCAACCAAAAATGTATGACAGTAAGAATTTCCAATGATCAAATACACGTGGACCACTAAAAGTTCACATAGTTGGAACCCTCTGTACATTTGTGTATACATTGTAAATACACAATCACTTCAGGGTTGATTGTTGATTTTTTACTCACAGATGCAAAGATAAATCAGAAATGAAGTTGACTGCCATATTGGTGAAAGATTTAAATTGCAATCCACCTCTTTCATTCTTATTTGCCCCTTTATCAGGCCATCTAAACCATTCACCAATTGTGGTAATAAGGATAGCTCAAAAAGCTTTTTTTTATTAAATTTACAAACTTTCCACTCAACAATAAGAATGGTTGTCTTTCATGTCTTTAGTTATAACTAATGAATATTTTGTCGTTTACATGATTTTGTGTTAAAATTCATTCTCAAGTTTTTCAGAACTTTTTTAAAGTGATTTCATATGTATTTATCTTTCTTTTAGGGAATGGAATGATGTAATAACAAGAATGTGTCCATAGTACACGGATGCCCCAGTCACACTATCATTTTCTATGTCCAGTGGACTGTGAAATTGGGATCAAAACTCTAATTTGGCATTAAAATTAGAAAGATCATATCATAGGGAACATGTGTACTAAGTTTCAAGTTGATTGGACTTCAACTTCATCAAAAACTACCTTGACCAAAAACTTAAACCTGACGCACAGACCGAAAAACATAATGCCCCTCTACTATCGTAGGTGGGGCATAAAAATATAGGGTCTCCGACCATGTTTTCCCTGTAGAAGTGCCCCAACTATCATGAATGTTAAAAAAACAATACAAAAATTGACAGATTTGATTTGATCACTTCCCAAATTTAAGGATTGTTTTAGACTAAATGTATAAAAAAATATCCTTAAATAAACATTAAAATGATCAGATAATGAGATGTTAAAGTTGAATTGCATAAAATATTAAACTTCACTTTTTACACCCAAAGCAACATTTCTATACATATAACTTAATTTTGGTATTGAATTGATATTAAAATGAAACTAAGACCCTATTATTTTTGTTCTCCACAGTTATGCAAAAACACAGGAAAGTAACTTTTTTGATGATTTTTTTTAACAATTATTTTACTGAATTTTTGTTGACAAAATACAGACTCTCATTTTGAACATCCTTCACAAATAAATATAAAACTTCTTCATCAGTATTGACACACTCTGTCCTGGTAGTGATATACACAATGTACTGCCTACCAAATTCACGGCTTACCAGAGAAAATAAACCTTGTCCCGTTAATCATTTTCAATTGAAGTCAACAGAACTAAATGTACAAAAATGTTGCAATATTTCCTGTAATTGCACTTTATGGTGCTAGTTTAATGTTAAACTTTATTTGCCTTAAATGTATTTAATGTGGATGGTCTCTGCTTCTTTCGTTTTGAATGTTTTCTTTGTTGATCATTAATACATTTTGTACATTACAGAATGGGTAATGACACTATACTGTCTGTTAAAATGCCCAATAAATCTCTTTAACTGTGGTAATGTTAATAATGACCATAGCACATCTGTGATTGTGCTTACAAAAAACAATGGAACTATTGTGTTGTAAGCAATGAAAGCTGCTATATCTATAAACTGATAAACATGATAAATACAAATATAACTTTGCTCATGTTTAGATGTTAAAATATTTAAGGATATATAACTAATAATCTATAATATCTTTTCTTTGAATTTGTGATGTAAATAGTAAACAGAAGCATGTTTGTGTGCAAGTTCATGCTTGTAAGTAATCAATAGGTAATCACCTACTTAAAAATAATGGTGTACTGGTGCAGCATTTAAGATGAAAATATCAAAATAATACAAAGGAAAATATGATTTATATCGGACTTTACATTCATGTTTCGACACACAGATATAAAGGAAAAGAGTAACTTTTAAAATCCCACTATGCATCTCTTGAAGTGCAATGATATAATGTTTACAAACATACGTTACATAGAAAACTCACCAATAATCGTGGCGTTTCCGCAGTTGCCATTTTTTACGTCTTCGAAATTAATATATCCTTCATTTGTCACATTTTGTAAGTTTTTTTTTCTACCCCAGAATGTATTCGAAATTTAAATAGACATGCATAACTTATTTATAGTGTTTGTTCAACTCGCTACATGTCGGTGGTCGCCATTTTCAAACAATCAGTGTGTGTCGATATCAACAATATTCCTGCGCACTTCCGGTAATGATCACCTAAGAATATTTATTTATACAGAACAAATTTACCGTTTATATCAACTGTTTTCATTCATTTAATTTAAAATATCTAGATGTGCATATTTTAATTACTTATCGCGTTTTATTTATGAATAACATACGTATTATACTGCACTACTTTTCATTGAGGAGGACATACTACTAGCAAGTGCCAGTCGTAGCAGACGAATTTTCATTGAGCTAAATACCCCCCCCCCTTTTTTTGTTGAATAACCTGCTAGTAATATTAACGAGGGTCTGGGTGAGGTTTTCAGAATAGAGAACAAAAGACAACGAAAAAAGTGCAGAAAAAAGGATAAAAATAAATAATAGAGAAAAATAGACCTAAAAATAAAGAAAAGATAATATTGGGGGTGCTACACTTGATATATAAATAATACTAGAGAATAATAGTCGAAATAAATAAAGAAAAATGGTAAAGAAAGTTAAAGAATTGTAGCATAATGGGGTGTTAGCTATACTTTTTAACTCCAAATTTCATATTGTTAATGAATATTTCGTCTAAAGATTACAAATTAGTCACATTTAATCCACTTGGAATTCATAATTTGTTTAGAAAAGACATATCATATTTCTATTCAGAATTTTTTTTTTTATTATGTTTTGAAAAATTAAAAATATCATTGACCAAAATTTAGAATATTTGAAATTTATACATAAACTATTTAGCTAACTTTATCAAATTTTCTGAGGACTGGCTACCTTTAGGAAAGGAAAGCCGAGTTATATTCCAAAACAAGGTTAGTGCAACTACCACATACCTACCATTCCATTTATTGCTATATTTCGACAAGTTTGGAAGTTTACATGCTAAAGTTGTATTTGGATAATATATATTTTTTTGTTTCATTTACAGTACTTATTACTCAGTTTGGCATCCATCGTCATTCAGTCAATAAGCTAGTGTTAGCTGTGGTCCGCATCCCCGAATACCCGGCAGAATTGTTCCTGTTGCTACAGAATAAAGAAATGAAGGACCTCCATCCAGACCCTCATCAATATTGACTTTCTACTTATATTTTTTTGATCACTCTAGCTAGATACATCACTATGCATGCAAATATTAGTAATGACCATAAAATTGAGAATGGAAATGGGGAATATGTCAAAGAGACAACAACCCGGCCAAAGAGCAGATAACAGCCGAAGGCCACCAATGGGACTTCAACGTAGCGAGAAAATCCCACACCCGGAGGTGGTCCTCAGCTGGCCCCTAAATGAAAATGTGTACAAGTTCAGTGAAAATGGACGTCATACTAAACTCCAAGACATATAAATGAACTAACCCAGGATAAAGGGGAGGTTCCAACCATATGTCCCCATTCAAACGCATTGATCGTAAAAAAAAGGGGTGTTGGAACCCCCTCCCCATGGATCCGCCACTGCATGTCGTGAAGGGTAATCTGACTGATCCTGCTCCATTAGTAGCATCCGTCAGGATAATATATATGTCACAAATGTTATCCGATAGTACTATTTAGCTGGATGCAAAATTAAAAAAATAAAAAAAAAAAAAAAAATAGATACGAAAAAGACTACACCAAAGATTAAAGAAAAAAAGATAAAAAAACAAACATCATTAAAACCAAACTAAATATTATTGTTATATACATATGCATATATATATATTCACGGTTCTACAATCTGTCGATACCTATAATTTGGCATTGAACAAGGTCATGTTTTTCTCTGACAATTAATGTCGTCTTTACTCTACATCCATTGGATGTTGGATGTGTACTGATTGATATTTTAGTCTTAGATACATGATTTTTTTTATAAGTTGTCATTGGCTTTAAACTATAGCTGTCAGTAATTGCAAGTACTCTCAGATTTGTACTAGTAAGTGTCTTTTTTGTTGTGGGGATGTATAGATACCCTGCCACGTCCGGTCTGTGTTTTTATAACTTTTTTTCTGCTTTGTATCGACATGATAAGTTAAGCCATTTTCAACTTGTTTTTTTTAGTTTGTTCATATGTTGTGCTGTTACACCACTGTCCCAGGTTAGGGGAGGGTTGGTTTAACCCCGCCACATTCTGTATGTGCCTGCCCCAAGCCAGGAGCCTGTAATTCAGCAGTTGTCGTTTGTTGTTATATGTCATATTTTTTTTCATTGTTTTGTACATATAAATCATGCCGTTAGTTTTATCGTTTGAATTGTTCTATATTTATTATTTCGGGACCTTTTATAGATGACTAAGCGGTATGGGTTTTGCTCGATGTTGAAGGCCATACGATGACCTATAGTTGTTAACTTCTATGTTATTTGGTCTCCGGTAGAATGTTGTCTCATTGGCAATTATATCACATCTTCTTATTTTTATATCAATCCACAAAGAATAGTTACAATTGAGCAATACGACCTGTATGCTCTGTAAGGGAAAGACGGCTCCTGTTTCCTTATGACAATAGTTCCGTTACACATGTTAAATTTTTAGGATAGATATCAGATAACAAGACATCATACACGATAGCGAATTAGCATATATCTCTTGTCTTATACTAAGTCACTACGAAATCTATAAACCACGTAATTGCTTTATTGGCAATTATACTACATCTACTTATTCAGACATCTTACTCTTTTACAGCGAACGTGAACGTTTAACATGAGATCAAAGGAGCGGCGTAGCTTGGTCCTTATTTCTAATGAGGCAAAACATTTAAAAAACTAACAGAATCCTATTCACCTCTAAAAAGTTTAACATTATCTCTGTCTTGTAACTTTATATGCTTATTTATCGGTCGCCCCACTGTCTATATCACTCTGCTCAGCTCTTAATAAAATTGCATATATCACGGCTTTGTGACGTCAAATACGTTGACCCGGTCCTAAGAACTTTGACTCGGACATATCACCGACGTCATAATATATGAACCGACGTTGATAAGTTTGACCAGAACTTATTACGTCATCTTCCGGTTTGCTGGTGAAACAAAGAAAACATTTGTTTCTATCATGCATAATACGCACATTCAACCCGATAAATCGATTATCTGGATGTCTGCATATTCATGTTGTAAAATATCAGCTACACGACACAATATCAAGCCTTTTTTATCTCGTTCGCTGAGCTCACTCAACAAAAAGCAGCTGATATTTTACGATATCAATATGCAGATAACATGATAATCGGTACAGGTTGTATGGAAAGAATATAACTGGATTCACTTAAAGTATGCTCTATATGAATAAACACGCATGTCGGAAAGATGAGCATAGTTGGTTCCCATTGGAACGCATACTGTCTGTTGAAAAAACACGTCTACCAAGCAAGAATCTAATCAGTTTCACATTTCTAGCCTTTTTTTTGAAACAATGCTATTTCTTACAAAGTATAATCTGTCCGTTTCCTTTAACAAGAAATTTGTATCTACGTCGGTCATTTTCATGAACTAAAATCGACTAATTCTTTTGCTGTTTTGTCAATCAAAAGGTTATCTCCAGAAAAGAAAAAGAAAATTTGTAAGCGGAGAGAGAGAGAACGAACCAACACAGCTCGTATGTGGAAGTGTTTAATTTCTTGCAGAATAGTTGATATTAATTAGCAGTTTTGTTATATGTATTTTAAGAGTTCATCATTTCTTCTATACTTCTATGCAATCTTATTCTCTTGGTATGTTATGTCTTCTTAGTACTCTATTTTATGGTTCACTAGTCAGTCAGTCATGTGTCAAGTTATCTTATCTTCTATTGATCATATTCATTGAGTAAAAGGTGGACTGGGATATAGAAATATGGTAACCTGGACTGGACTTTTCCGTTCGGCAATAAAACACATACTTAACAGAAAGGTATCCGTTTTCGTTGTGCATCATTTTCCTGTCGCAATGGGAAGTTAAATGGAATGCCTTATGTAGAGAGTGTAACACGCTCTCTTCACGATGAAGAAAATTGCAACAACTCTTTCAGAGGTTCATAGGTGGCTTGTTGTAAGGAAACATTTCAGTCCCTGTCTAACAAGCCCCTTTCAGCTGCAGTCGATATTAAGGCCCCAATCCTGGTCTCACAAATTTGCAGAACCTATAGCTACTGGACTATTATAATTTGTTCTCATCATGAATATGTATGCAATTTTGTTACTAGGGAGTAAGCAAGCAACAATCGATGAAACCTGTTAAATGCGCATTTTTCCATTAGTAAATGCCGAAAACTCGTTTGAGACGCCGGTTTCACCTTTAACTATCCATTCCAAAGCAGAATCATTTCCTGTCATGCTTTATACGGTTGATTTATTTTTCAGTATGCAGTGATTTTGTCACGGCTTTCCGAGACATACGACGCTGCTTTGAATATGGAGGCTCTGAAAGGATTATAGGGATATGGTCAGCTGGACTTCTTCCTTCCAGCATTAAAACCCGCCTTGTATGCGTCAATTAGGTTGTGCGGGATATACAAATACGTAAGCCACGTCCGATAGGAAAGGGGACGTTAAATACGACGCCTCTCTATTTTGAAGAGTGCAAAGATCTCTGTTTGTGAAATCACCCTCCCTCACAAATAACCACCAAACAACTTCATTCTTGGAATAATTCTACCCAACCCAAGATACTATTTTTATCAATTTTCCGCCATTCCAGTAGACACACTCTGCTGAATTGATCTTATCGATCAACAATGCTCTAATTTTTCCAGCCTAAACTTTCATGAAATATTTTACGCTAGAGTTCAGCATCACCAACCAAGTGTAGGTATTTGAAATAATTTTTACTCCAAATATAGTTTCGTCGTAATAAGATACACAAATTCACATTAATTCAGTAACAACGATTTATTTTGGACCTGTTTTGTGAAATATATTATTACTATCCGTGAAATCATCCACGTCAGACTGACTATCGATATCACAACTTTTTTTAAACCATTCTACCACTTTATAATATCCGTTATAAGGAGACACTTTGTTAATATCCATTTT